AAAGAAAATAAAATTTCAATTTACAAAAATATAACTGGGTCAGTGAAGACAGCGACTCGGATTTTGATTTCGCTGCGAGCGAAGCTGTCGCCAGATCGTTAAGAGAGACACGCGCAACGGATTCTTTTTCAGCACATTTTTTAGCGCCTACATAAATAGTTTAACGTTTGCATTGATTTACAGTTATGTATGCGCTGTGCCAGATGCACTTAATAGCCACAGGAATGCAGCCATTTGCGCTCTTAATGCAGCTCATTAAACTGCAACAGCTTCAAATGGAAACACTCAACATGTGAATACATTTCATTTGCGAATTTATAATTAATTCAGAAACCAATGAAGCGAGCCGTGCGGCATATCAAGCGCGTCTATAAATCACATAGAAATTCCAGAAACCAAATTGTGCATTATGAAGCTCTTGTTAAGAATAATATTTATTAAAGTTTTTTTTATTATATATTATCATATATTCCTATTATTATATTTAAAATATGGAAACAAAACTTATAAAAATTAACTTAAATTAGTCTTCAGAATAAAAGTTGCTACATCAGGACTTTAATATTATGTATTGTATTTAATATAACATAACCAAAATATACAACTGTTAATAAGGTTTAATATTGTCCCAAAAACAAATGTAATCTCCAATGACCCAACACGCTGTTAATCAATAGCCTTCGTCCCAAATAAGCGAAGACACAAACCCAGCTGGCGAAAGCTTTGAAGTCTGCCAGTTAACAGTGCTAAATAGCGTCCACAGAACTGTTATACAACAGTCCTGTAAAATGTGTTCGCCACAGGCGAAGATGAAAAGGTTCAACGCACGACAAACGACATTGGGGCACAGGAAGAGGAAATGTGCCATAAAGAGAATGAAAACGAATGCATTGAGCTTAAACCCAATTAGTTTGCTATTGGAAATTACAAGCACAAACAACACTCAAACAGCTCCCACTGACAAAGTGCTAATTATACCCAATATCCTGTTGGACACACACAAAGGCAAGCCGAAACCCGGCTAAGAATGTGAAAGACAATTGTGGGGCACAAATGACAAGTGCCGAACAGCAAATGGAACAACAGATCCAAATGCTTTGTTATTCAAACACACACACACACACACCCACACACACATACAATGACACAGAGTATGCAAATAGAGCGAACTCCACATGGCCGAGGCTAATTCGAGCTGCTCTTATGAAAAAAGTCGAGATGGTTCTCATTGACAATGGGCATTAGCTCATTGGCAAGCTCATGTCGCATTCGATTGCCTTGAATTTACTAATTGAATTGTAATAAAATTATGTCACGACTTTGGCACATTCGTTTCGCCCTGCAGCAGCTGTTGTCGCCTCCTGTGGAAGTCTGTGGCGCGTGTTCTTTATTATTGGAGTCACAATGATTGCACGCAGCTGCAAGCAGTTGAGTACATTTGGCAATGCTCGCTTGCGGCAAGTGAAGAGGGTATATTAGTATTTTGAATTTGCCTACAATTTTAACACCTTATGGAACAATGATCTGATGCGCCCATTGGCGCATGGCTCAGCTGCAAATATTGTTAATTTTTTTAAAATTTAACTCTGTGAAACCTGAACAGGCATTGCATAGTCGGCTATGCTCGACTGCAATGTTCTTATTGCATTTGGCATTGCGGCTTTACAGCAAATAGTTTCGCTCGATATTTAAATACGTAAGTGGAATACTTTAATACATATGTGTGTGTGTGTGCGTGTGTGGGTGTGTGTGTGTACGTGTGTGTGGATGCATTAACAACACTTGACTACAGCATGAACGGAAATGAGAAGAAATGCATTGCATTCTATTGGGCGGAAACTCTTAAATGTTAATTGATAGTTTTAATACACTTACCGCCAGCTTGAAGTATGCACAAATACCCTGTAAATTGTGAAGTGGGTCAAAGCGAGTGTTGTTGCATTCGCATATCAAATGAAACTCGATCTTTATGGAAATATCTATTAAGGTATGCAACCAGCTGCGGCACAGCCTGGGCTGTTGTTGTTGATGAAAATATTCTCATACCCTCGGCTGTAATTTAGTGGGGTATTTGCAACTAAGCAGACAAATTGTCTACGCTGAAAGCAGATTATTTGTTTCTAGTCAGCAACTGAAATGAACTCATTTCATTAGAAAAAGATGTTTGAGCCCATTTAAGGCCTTAAGCCAAGCGTTGTAAGAGCAAAGGAAAGCCTTTCATATGTATATAATATTTTCATAAATATGAAAATGAATATATGATAATGTTGTTATTTAAGCTTATATATTTAACAGAATTTTATTAATTTTAGTTCAAATTGAAACTGCTAAAAGCGAGCCTTTAGCAGCAGCCCATCGCAGCTTTGTCAGTTGACTTAAACAAAGTTTTTTAAACACAATCAGAATCAACATCTTGAAGGTGTTTCCTATTGTGACTTGTCAACTAATCAACTTGTTTGATATTCCAATGATTTATTCATCAATCACAGCTCAAGAAAAATCATCAAATGTTAAGAAGAAGCTTCGAGGCAGAGACAAATTCATTCAGAGTAACTTTTAGGCATTCCCTCTTAACTATAAAACAGGGTATCTTTAAGCCTCCTCACCTTCAACCTCATTTGAATACTTTAGTTCATTGTATTGATGTCGGCAGAACGCAGGGGCAACAGCGAGCTGAGCATATTTATGTTGCGTCCGCTCAGCTCGCCCGAGGCACAGTGAATAAAATGCGCTGTTATAAAAATATTATTGCAACTGGCATTTTAACCGAGCTGTGCTCATATTTGATTTTCAATTTACTCACGTGCTATGTACACTTAATAAAAGCCCCCGACTTAAATAAGTGAATGCGATTTAAATGGAAATTAACGACTAAAAGATACCTAAAAGGAGAGTAGATGGACGTAGAGTGGGTGAGACTGGGATGGAGCTGAGGAGACTGGAGAAGACTAGAGAGTCGACTAGAGAAAACTAGAGAGTCGACAATAGGAAACTAGATGAGAGGAGAGTAGAGGAGTAGACTAGAGGAGATAAGAGTAGAATGGAGAGGACTAGATTGGGCTAGATGAGACTTGATGAGATGTGACTGCAGTAGACTAGAGTCCATTAGAGTAGACAAGTAAAGCAGACTAAAGCCACCTGAAGTCAAGTGGACTCTTCACTACATTAGACTCGAGTAGACAACAAAAGAAAAAGCTGGACTTTTGCTAAGAAAAGCCCCATGTTAAGTGTCTTACACACATTCAAATTTATGGCTTTATATAAGCAAAAGTAAAAGTTCATAAATCTTTCTAAGCTCAATAAGATAACTGCTTAACTTAAATAACTTTTGTCTGCATTTGCTGATTGTAATCCGAAATCACCAATAAGGCGAACGAAATCTAAAAGGTTTTCTATGAAAACATATTTTCAAACATTTTTTTGATTTTAGATAGAACGTAGAGACTTCAAGGCGTATACATAATATTTACAAGAAAATCGAAATATATTTAAAAGAAATTAAATAGTAGCATGTAAGATATAAAAATCAGCTTGGATATAATTTTAAGGCAATTTGATTCAAAGAAAATGAACCAAAGGTCAACTCAGCGAAATGTGAGAATGTAAGACGTATGATCTCCAGCTCTATCTCTTTAGATGAAGTGACGGGCGAGACGGCTTCTTGATAAATAGTAAGAACATAATTACTTTATTCACCTGCTCAACAAGTACATCATACCCCAAATTAACCCTGTGCAAAGTATTGAAAAAAAAAACGAATTTTTTATGTAGTCAACTTGCAACGCGTTGAAGCATTATGGCAATATGTGTGAGATTTAATGGGCCGCAGGCAAATTGAAACATTTGCGGTGACCCAATAAAACAAAAAGCGAAGCATAAAAAATACACATTGAAATCGCATTCAGAATTGGTCAATTGAGGAACGAAGCATAAAAATGTATACGCCACGTTGGCCACATAAGCTCTCGCTGCGCATTAGATTGATTGGACGAACTATGCTTATGCAATGCAATTTTAATAAACATTTACTCTCTACCTCTCTCTTCCTCTCTCTCTAATCACATGCGATTCATTATTTAAATTATGTTTTCAATGCCAACAAATACAGCAAAGCGCAATAAATTTTGTTTTGATTAGCCAAACAAATCTCTGGAAAGCTTGGCAAATGAGCAATATTTTGATATTTGATATTTGATTTTTGAAATTTTGAAATTTCAATTTTGATTTATACCAAATTTGTTTACGACTATCAAATATATGTCTTGCTTACGAGACTTGATAGTTCTTAAAACTGAGCTGCTGTTAGGCAAGTATTTGATTCAGCTCACAATATTTTGATATCTGTTTAGTTATTTTGTATTCTGTGTTGCTTCGTAGCACGCGAAGACTTTTATTTTGATTAATTTTCTTGTCTAGAAAAATATAAGTAAATAATATAAAAATATTGTAATTATTGTTCCTTAAGTGTGCTAAGATACTAATGATTAGGAATCCATTCACCTGATCTTCTGGTAAAAATTTGAAATTTCTCTCAATAATATAATTTATATTGATATTTTTTTGATATATTTATTTTATATATTTCCGGTTTCAACTAAGATTCGCAGAGCGCAATTGTAGAAACTTGCAGCAACTGCTTTTGACAGTCAGAACAGATTCTGCAGCAAGTAATTTATATATAAAATATTCATGTTTAGCTGTCAGGTGAACGGCTCGGCATTGCTTCAAGGGGTTGGGCCGGGAGCATGAGCATTGGACACGTGTCAGTGCATGCTAATTAAATGCAACACAATGGCAAATGCCGGCAACAGCCGGAACACAATTGCCATTTGTAATGGCATTTCGCTTTTGGGCCTGGTTTAGTGAACGACAATGCGCCGCGTGTTACGCCAAATGCACACAAATAACAAACGATCTTTGAATGGGCCACGACTCATAAAGCTGCGAAATAATGTAGCAATTGTGGCGCAGGTTCCTGCTGCGCGCTGAGCTTCACTTACCCTTTATGAAATCGACAGCCATCTCGAGGCCGTAGGTGTCCTTGTCGCAGTCATCCAGTAGGTGGGCGCCGAGCGTTATATTCGGCAGCAATTGCTGCTGGTTGACCTGATCCAAGGTGTAGAGCATGGCCTCCAAGGCCTGAATGCCGCCCTGCGGCATGATGGGACCGCAGGTGATGCTGTCCTCGCGCGAATGCACCATCATCAGGCCGCCAAGTATTACATCGCCCTCGAGCACAGCGGCATGCTTCACCGGCCAGCCCGCGGCGGCCGTTGCTGTTGCCGTTGCCGTTGCTGTGGTTGTCTGACCATTGCTAGCCCAGGATGTTGTCAATGTATTGTCCATCGCCATGTTCGCTGTGCCCAGCAGGCGCAGCGTAGGCACTGTTTTACTGTCAATTGTTGTGGCTGCTGTCGAGGCTGCTTCAGCTGCTGCTGTTGCTGTCGATGTTGCTGCTGCTGTTGCTCTCTCATATTGCAGCTCTGTTGCTGCTGGTATTGCTGTTTGCCAATTAGTTTTATTGTATGTATTTATGGCTGTTGCCGTTGTAGCTGCCTCCCTTTGCTGCATGTTTAAGTTAAAATTTGTATTGTTGTCCACAGTTGTCACAATTGTTGCCATTGTAGTTGTTGCTGCGGGCGCAATGCGCTTACTTTTTATTGCTATTGCTGTGTGTGTCATACTATTTGTATGAGTTGCTGCTGTTGCTGTTGCTGTTGCCGTTGTCAATGGATTCAATAGTTTTGTTGCCGCTTGCCTTAGTTTTTTGCCAGCTGCACTTGCTGGCGTCAGCAATTGACCCTTTTGGGTGTTCTCAGAGCCTGCTGTTGTTTTCGCTGCATTTAGATTGCTGCTTGAAGCGATTGCTGCCCACTCGGTGCTCTGACTTGTAGCAACCATACCTGGCAACAGCAATAATTGCTCGGCAGTGCCATTTCGGCTGCTCGGCATCAATTGTTGCTGTTGCTGCTCCTGTTGCTGCTGCGCTTGGCAGCGCTTGCAGGTCAGCAGCAGCACCAGCATCAGCATACCACTTGCTGCGCTGAACAACATTTCGTATACTCTCGTCACTCTCTCTCTCTATGTGACTGCTCAATGTGACGGCATTAGCAACCGGAAGAGAAACGAATGTGACCAAAAAATTTGCTTCTTTTCGTGGAGCTTTTAAATAAATTGCAATTAATTTCAACAAACAACAGCTTAAAATTGCTGTTGGGCAACGACTTTTAATTAAGTTGCCTTTGCCAGCTGAAATTGATGTGTCCGCTAATTCCGCACGCTGTTGTTGTGGTTGTGCCTGTTGTTGTCGTTGCTGTTGCTGCTGTTGTTGCTGTTGTTGTGGGCGAGCATTTTAAGGCATCTCAACTTTGTTGTCGCTCCGGTTGCATTGTTGTTGCTGCTGCTGGCGCTGCAAATAAAACGCAAAACTCGTTGAGTAAAGCAGCAAATGGCAAAAGTAAAAAAGGAGACGAACAAATAAATAAGCATTTTTAACTCCAACTGAATTATAAATGCTGCGCACTTAAGCAAATTTAATGAACAGTAAAAAGCACATCAAAATGAGCCAAACATTTGTTTACTTCCCATTTCACACTTTGTTGCCTGCCAACAAACGTTTACTGCCAAACTAAAGTCCGACTACGAAACGCACTCACTCATTGCCTACTCTAAGGGGCCGCAAACCCAACCTGAACACGTACTTGAGGAAGGTTCGAGTTGCTCGGACAAACAAAACGTGAATTTGCTGCGAATTAATGATGCAAATTTTTGCATTTTACTTAAAGGAAATCTTGCAAAAATAATAAATTATGAATTCTTATAATTAAATATTAAATATTATTATAAGGTAAGCTCTTAGTTAAAGGTAAATAAAGCTGATTTTTATATTTATTTGCTATTTAATTATTTAAGTAGTATAATATATATACATATATAAATATATATATATATATACATATATATATATATAAATATATATATACATTTAAAAAAATATATCAATATATTTTTTTTATAAATATATATATTGAAAATAAATATATAAATATAATTAAATTATTTAAAATTTCTTTTCTAAAAATTCAATTAATATTTAACATTTTTATTTATATGTGTATATCAATTTTTTTTAATTTTTAAAAATAATTTCTGACATTTTTGTTTAAGCACAACAATAAATTGCTTTCGTTCCTGAGGCATTGCATTGCATTCCATTAAATACAAATAATATTTAGTGCTTAAATCTGATTTAAAGATAAATTGTGTTAAACATGAACATGAACTTGTGTTCTAACTTTCATAAATTTTTTCATTAAACTCTCATCAAATTGTCTATTAAACAAATCGAGTATTGACAAGGCTCACAGCAATGTCGATATACATTGTTGAAGTGGGTAAACATACGTAAAGTGCTGAGTGGACAGGAAACTGGTTTTCAAATACTTTTGCCACAGGCAAATGCGGATATCCGTTTTACACTTGACAAATAGACACTAATATGAGAGGACACAAGACTTTAATAGACCAGCCCAGCAACAACAAAAACAGGCCCAAACTATTAACCGGGAAATGGCAGCAGGAAGAGCAACAGCAAAAGGACGATAGAACGACAACAAATAGAACGGCAACATATGCCTCGTTAAGTGAATCTAGGCCAAAAATAGTCCGAATACCTGTCACTAGGTGTCACCTGATAATAAGCAGGTGACATAATCGTGGCGGAAGTCGAATTACACGGCAATTAAAACACGATATGCTCATTATACTGGCTAAATAATTAAGAGGCTTCGTAGTCAAGCTCTTTCCGGCTTAGTTCTCGTCGAAAGCCAATTAGACGGCCGTGTCGCCCTCCATTTAATTAACTTGCCATAAAGGATAATAGGTGTTCGATAGCAGCGCGGCAGACATAAAGGATAATCGGTGTTCGCATAGCAGTTTGCGAGTTATTCCTCGAAATTTACTGTTATTAGTGAGCCAAGCGTAAAACTTTCACACTTTGAGTTCGTCGATAAGCGGCGGCGCATAAAGTAAAGCCTACTTTTAAGGGTCGCTTTAAAAATGCCAGCGATTAACAGGCTGTGACTGCGCCCCTCCGGGAATTGCCCACATACTTTTGGCGCACAATATAAAAATACCATTGGCACATATTTTTGGCTGGCTGTGACATAATCTTTAATACACGGCCCCATGCACCCACCGGCTGGCTGACTGACTGGCTCTGACTGGCTCTGACTCTGCTCTTATCTCGCATACCTGGCATGCCTGAGCTGCCCTTTTCCCAGCCTCGCAGCCTCCCAGTTTTGCCTGCGGAAGTATTTTTGTTTGCTTTGCACCCATAGAGTCAACGAAAATAGCCACAGGCTGCGCACTGCCAGCTTCCCGTTCCCGTTCCCGTTCCCGTTCCCGTTCAATATACTCTCTGTGCTAATATTCTCTTTATTGAAACGATATTGGCAAGGCCGTATAAGTGGAGGCGTCAACTGGCGTGTGGGCCAACAAATCGCCGGGACGTGAGAATAAATTCCGTTTGTGTGCGGCAAACTAATGAAATGTTGCCTTCGAATGAAACTAATGAAGTTCAGTGCCCATCGGCTCAATTCCTCATTCGTCCATGTAATTTTAATTAAACTTAACAATTTTCGTACTGCCGTTGTGTCAGCCGCAAGTCAAACAATTGACAGCTGCCGGCCATTGTTCCAACACGGCCACAGACCACTAACATACCACAAATTATACATATATATATATATATATATATATATACATATATATATATGATATATGATACAATGTGCCACAGAAAGGATCCGCAACGATTGTAGCCAGAAGCCGTTGTCTGTCAATCAGCCGTAAAAGTCTGCAGCACAGCCCACACAGCTTCTGATAATAATGCACGACAGAATAATGAACAGGCGCGATGTGCGTGTGTCATCTGCTCCTCTAGCTACCCATTTCCATGAAAGCAAACACTGTTATACATAATAATGGGAGTGAAAGTGTTAGCTTTAATAATTAACATTATATATTATAGTTATTGAAGCATAAGAGTTGAGAATTCATATGACGAAACAAAGGTCTGTGGTTGAATTATAATTTGACTGACGAAGCAAAGGTCTGTGGTTGAATTATAATAGATATTATTATATTATTTTAATTTTAATTTAGTTAATGAAATAGATCATTTTATTCGAATTCATTTGATTTCAATTAATAAGCTACATAATATAATTTTAAGTATTTTAAAATTCAATAATACAAAAGATAACTTAATGTAACTTTGTTAATTCAATAGATAAATTGATTTAATTTTGATTTAATTAATAAAATATATAATTTTATTATATTTTTAATTTGATTAATAACATAAATAATTTTATTCTATTTTTATTTTTAATCAGCAGAAATTTACTATATCGAATTTTTACTTCAACATTGTTAGAAAACAATAATAATTATTATGTTTACTCTCACAAATTTGATTGTCGACACTACATTAAAATTCTTTGTAGCCCAGTGTCAGCCGAAAAGTTTTCAGAAGCTCAATAAATGGAAATTTGAAAGTTTTGTGTACGTTAATAATTAGCATAAGCGAGAATTGATGTGTATTTTATACAATTGAGAGATGTTTGCTAAGCACACATATTTGCCTTGCGATTGGCAAAAATCAATTATAAATCTATGAATAAATGTTTAAATTAGGAAAAGTTTTAGGGTCTTGTGACATAAATACCAATTAGAGCTGCAAACATGAGTTAACGAGCTAAGCATTGCAATAAGTAATACCGCAAATTATAGCAGCTAATGGCCGGAAGGAGATGCAGCTTATTTAAAATGTAGTTTTCTTTTTCATATTGATTTTGAGGCTGCCTTTTGGGCAATGTCTGAGGTAAGTGTATGGGCATGTATATTAAAAGTGCGGTGTGCCGTTGGGGCGTCAAAAAACATATAATTTTATGTAGCGAATGGGTAGATGCAAGCAGACACATTCAGGTAATGTAGTCGTAACAGTTTGGCCATGTTTTTTTATGCGAAAATTATACAGAAAGTTCAGTTAGCCGGTGAGCGAAGGACTGCGATGTTAAAAAGGCTGCAGCAAATGCAAAATTAATGCGCCTGCTCCATTAAAGGCAGCCGCGCAGACATCATCATAACGTGCACACGGCCACGGCCACGGCTCGAGCTCATTTGGCCGGCGCTCAATTATTGAAATATTATTTATAAGCACAACCCAAAGCAGTTACCTTTTTGCACGGAAAAAAGAAAAGCCAGCTTGAATAATGTGCGAGGCGGGATGGCCGGGACCTCGGTCAGCTCATATGACGTATACGCCGCGTAATGTGTGGCACGTGACCTGGGAATAGAGCAGACAGAAGGGTCGCTCTTCGGAGCATTGACCACTTAATGCATGATTATCT